ACTGGGAGTGTGTTTTTGGAATGTGGGGGGGGGGGGGGGAGAGTCATATGTGCTAAAGATCAGTCTGAAACACTGTGCAGATACCATTCAAAAGGTATATTTGATCATATGCTGATTAGGCAACTGTTCTTTTGACTTATTACCTGTATGCAAGACATCTAGGTGCTCACGTGAATAAGATGAAATTTCTGAAATCAATCCTGAGGATGCAAAATGGAGTCTTCAATGCAAAAGACGACAAGTCTAAAACAAAACCCTTTATATGCACTGTTTACATTTTTGTAATATTCACCCAGCCTTCAGATTTCCTTTCCTAAAATTATCAACATCTGAGAGTACACTACAGATGAATCTATCAGCCAGCTTTAATAATACAGGAATTGCCTTTGGATTTATATCAAATTACTATAATGCAGGTTGAGTCAATTATGTTTAAATGTCACTTTCTTAGATAACACATATAGGGCTCCAGTTCATTTCTGTATATAAAAAAGAAGTTATGAGAGTCAACTGAAAACAAAGATAGAGTCTAACTAATTTTTCCAGTGGCCTGTTAATTATAACCCTGTTTTCCTCCTCCTCTGTTATTGCTTCAACTTTGGCTTTTACTACAACTAGGGGAGAGGATTTTTATGTACTAAAATAGTTTCCTTTCTAGAAAACTGCATCTAAACCTTTCAGAAATCACACCATTTTATAAATAGAGAGAGAGAGACACCATGGCCCCAACAGGGGTGCTCTTCAAGATCACAAAGATATTCAGAACTTAATCATAGAATCCTAGGGCTGGAAGAGCATTCAGGAGGTCATTAAGTCCAACCCCCTGCCCAAAGCAGAACCAACCCCAACTAAATCATCCCAGCCAGAGCTTTGTCATGCTGGGACTTAAAAACCTCTATGGATGGAGATTCCACCACCTCCTTAGGTAACCCCTTCCAGTACCCTCATATTAAAATAGTTTTTCCTATTATCCGACCTAGACCTTCCCCACTGTAACTTGAAACTAGTACTTGTTCTCCCATCTCTCACTACTGAGAACAGCCTCTCCCCATCCTCTTTGGAACCTCTTGTCACATTACTGGATTTTAAGAGGATCAGACAGGTCCTGAGGGGGGGAGGGACTGCCCCAAAGTCTGTACAAAGGGGGCCATGTGAGATGTCAAATGAAATATTATGTTCTACTTATTTTATGTATGTTACTCATGTATTTGTGTGATGTCTGTATATGGAGTTATAACTCTATACAGGCAGTCCCCGAGTTACGCGGATCCGACTTATGTCGGATCCGCACTTACGAACGGGGCTTTTCTTGCCCTGGAACTCGCGGGTGGCGGGACCACCCAGATGCGCAGTGGTCCCGCCACTGCATCCTCCGGGGTGAGAAAAGCTGCTCCGGGTGTCCCTGGTCTCCTGGGGTGGTCCCCAGCAGACCAGGGACACCCCGAGCAAAGCCGCACAGGCAGCGGGGTCCCGCGCCTTTGCGACTTTGCTCTGGGTCTCCCTGGTCTGCTGCGGGGGGCGCAGCTAGTGAGCCCCCCCCCCTCCCAGCAGATGGGCCAGGACTGTTCAGTCAGTGACTGTGCTAATTAGCAAAGCTCCAGGGACAAGGTTCTCAGAGAGGCCAATATACACCTGAGGAATGTGTCTGGGTCCTGCAAACCAACCAATATCATGACTGCTGACATGGGACACAGGGATAGGTCACTGGGCCATGTGACTTGCTCCAGCTTGGAAGATACCAGGGATGGATATAAAATGCCATGAGGCAGGCTCCATCTTGCCTTCAATTCTGCTACTGATTCCAGATGCAGCCTTGCGAGGAACAGAGAGCCGGGAAGAAACGTAGGGCCATCCTGACATAGGATGTACACCAGAGACTTTTAAGTTAGCAGTTTGTAACATCTCTGCTAAGATTCTGCATCGGGAACTTGGTGATTCGATGCATGTAATGTATTCTCCTTAACAACCTTACTCTCATGCTTTTCTTTCTTTTATTAATAAACCTTTAGATTTTAGATTCTAAAGGATTGGCCCAGTGTGCTCTTGTGGGTAAGATCCAAAGTGTAAATTGACTGGGAACTGTGGCTGGTTCTTTGGGACCAGAAAGACCCATTTGGGGTAGGTGAGATTAGGTTCTATAACCCCTCACCTGTGTGTTAGGCCCGGGGCTGATTTTGGCACAGGGAGAGCTAAAGTGTGCGAGGGGTTTTGCTCATGAGGCTTTTGCTGGCAGGATTGGCAGCTGAAGTGGTCGGTGTGACTGGTGTGGCCTACTTGGGAAGTGCCTCCAGTCAGGGGTTGTAAGGAGCCCTGGTTTTGAGCAGTTCAACCTGAGCAGGTGCCCTCAGCTGTGCCCAGATCCTGTCTGGTCCATCACCCCTCCCTAAAGGAAGTTGAAGGCTGCTATCAAATCCCTCCTCACTCTTCTCTTCTGCACACTAAATAAGCCCAACTCCCTCAGCCTCTCCTCGTAGGTCATGTGCTCCAGACTCCTAATCATTTTGATTGCCCTCCATTGGACCTTCTCCAGTACATGCACATCCTTTCTATATTGGGGGACCCAGAACTGAACGCAATACTCTAGATGTGGCCTTACCAGTGCTGAATAAAGGTGAACAATAATTTCTCTAGATCTGCAGGAAAAGCTCCTCCTAATGCACCCTAATATGCCATTAGCCTTCTTGGCTACAAGGGCACACTGTTGACTCCTATCCAGCTTATCATCCACTGTCATCCCCAGGTCCTTTTCTGCTGACCTGCTACTTAGCCATTCAGTCCACAGTCTGTAACTGCTTGGGATTCTTCCGTCCCAAGTGCAGGACTCTGCACTTGTCCTTGTTGAACCTCATCAGATTTCTTTTGGCCCAATCCTCCAATATGTCTAAGTCTCTCTGGACCCTATCCCTGCCCTCTAGGGTATCAACCTCTCCCCCTAACCTAGTGTCATCTGTAAATTTGCTGAGGGTGCAATCCATCCCTCATCCAGGTCATTAATAAAGATTTTGAACAAAACCAGCCCTAGAACGGTTCCTTGGAGCACTCCGCTTGAAACTTACAGCCAACTAGACATTGAGCCGTTGATCACTACCCTTTGGGCCCAACAGTCTAGCCAACTTTCTATCCACCTTACAGTCCATTTGTCCAATCCATACTTCCTTAACTTGCTGGCAAGAATATCGTGGTAGTCCATAACAAAAGCTTTGCTAAAATCAAGGTATATCATATCTACCGATTTTCCCATATCCGCAGAGCCAATTACTTTATCATAGACGCTAATCAGGTTGGTGAGACATGACTTGCTCTTGGTGAATCCATGTTGACTATTTCTGATTACTTCCCCTCTTCCAAGTGCTTCAAACTGGATTCCTTGAGGATCCCTTCCATGATTTTTCTGGGGACTGAGGTAAGGCTGACCGGTCTGTAGTTTCTTGGATTGTCCTTCATCCCTTTTTTAAAGATGGGCACTACATTTGCCTTTTTCCAATCATCCGGAACCTCTCCCGATCTCCATAAATTTTCAAAGATAATGGCCGAAAGCTCTGCAATGACATTTGCCAACTCCCTCAGTACCCGTGGATGCATTAAATCCGGACCCATGGATTTGTGTATGTCTAGCTTTTCTAAATAGTTCTTAACCTGTTCTTTCTCCGCTGTGCGCTGCCAACTGCCTTGCTGTACTGCATTGCCTAGTGTAGTAGTCTGCAAGCTGGCCTTGTCTGTGAAGACAGAGGCAAAAAACAGCATTGAGTACTTCAGCTTTTCCCACATCATCTGTCACTAGGCTACCTCTCTAATCCAGTAAGGACCACACACAACACCCTCTCTGATCACCCTCTTATTGCTAATATGCCTATAGAAACCTTTTTTGTTACCCTTCACATCCCTTGCTAGCTGCAATTCCAATTGCGCATTTGCCTTCCTGATTGCTCCCCTGCATTATCGAGCAATGTATTTATATTCCTCCTTAGTCATCTGTCCAAGATTCTACTTCTTATAAGCTTCCTTTTTGTGTTTAAGCTCACCAAGGATGTCCCCGGTAACCAAATCTGGTCACTTACTGTATTTGCTTTTCTTACTGTGCATCGGGATGGTTTCTCCCTGTGCCTTTAATAAGGCTTCTTTAAAATACTGCTAGCTCTCCTAGACTCCTTTCCCCTTCATATTAGCATCCCAAAGGATCCTGCTGATCAGTTCTCTGAGGGAGTCAGTGTCTGCTTTTCTGAAGTCCAGGATGTATATTTTGCTGCTCTCCTTTTTTCCTTTTGTCAGGATCCTGAAATCTACCATCTCATGATTACTGCTGCCCAGGTTACCACTCACACCTGCTTCCCCTATTACCGGTAGTTCCTCCCTCTTTGTGAGCAGCAGGTCAAACTGCGCATGGCCCCATGTCTGTTCCTTCAGTGCCCGTACCAAGAGGTTATCCCCAACATACTCCAAAAAATAAGGTTTAGGGGTTATTTTGAGGGAAGGGTTTTCTCTTGAAATAACCCCGCTGGGACCGAGTTTGATGTCCTGAAATAGCGCTATTGCGGAAAAGCAGCAGTCCGCAATCATGCAAATGAAGTGCAGGATATTTAAATCCCTGCTTCATTTGCAATTTCGGATGTCTACATTTGCTTTCCTCCCTTGACGGAGGAATACACACTTTTTTTTAAATGAAAATGAAAAATTAATTCAAAATTTTAAAAACACGTAATTACTCATGTGAAGATGATTTTTTGGCTATTTCACCTTTAACTCTTTTAACAGCCATTCATCTTCTCCACCCATTAGAGTCGTACATATTCTCTTTTTATTTGATTGGTCAAGAAATCTTTCCATCATCATATGTGATTATGAACTCTGTAACCCCCAACAGT